CAATGAAGGATATGGGAGAGGCATCTTATGTCATTAGCATTAAGATCTACAGAGAAAGATCTTGAGGCATTTTGGGTTTGTCTCAAGAGACCTATATCAACAAAGTTTTAGAGAGATTTAATATGAAAGATTATTCACCGAATATAGCTCCCATTGTGAAGGATGATAAACTTGATTTAAGTCAATGTCCCAAAAATGATTTTATGGGAACACATGAAAAATATTTGATATGCTTCAGCAGATGGAAACCTTGTGTATGCTTAGGTTTGCACCACACATGACATTGTATTTGTTGTTGGATTTTTGGGAAGATATCAGAGTAAGCCAGGTGTTGCCCACTAGAAATCTACAAAGAAAGTAATGAGATATCTTCAAGGAACAAAGGACTACATATTTATGTGCAAATGAACTAATGGTTTGAAAGTGATTGGCTACATCAATTCAGACTATGTTAGTTGCATTGATATTGAGAAATCAACATCTAGTTACATTTTTATGCTAGCCAGTGAAGATGTACCTTAGAGAAGTGCAAAGCTAACCTTAACTACTACTTTCACTATGGAGGTTGAAGAGTTTCACATCTAGCCTTAGAGTTGTAGACTCTATTTCTAGGTCATTGAAGTTGTATTCTGACAACTTTGTTGTAGTATTTATGGCTAAGAACAACAAGAGTGGAAATAGAAGTAAGCATATTGACATCAAATATTTACCAATAAAAGAATGTGTTAAAAGAAAAAAAAATCATTAAACAAGTTAGCACAAAGTTTATGGTTGTTGATCCTTTGACTAAAGGCATGCCACCAAAGAATTTCAAGGATCATGTAGCAAGAATGAGACTTGGTTGCATGGCATGACATTTTTTAAGTACATTTATTGTTTTGATGAAACTCTTATCCAGTTTGATATTTTCTCATTTATTTTATGCACAAATGTCTTTTAGAAATATCATTCAATTTTAAGAGCTAATGTGAGAGACTTGATATAGTGTGATACATGGGAGATAATACTTACTTTTAGAGGACTTGTCACCATGATTCATATATTTTTGTTTCTTGTTTTGCTAGATAATAGGTTAAATGAACCAAGTGGAAAAATATTGGTTACTTCCTTAGTAATAGCAACAAACATGGTTAGATGTGCTCTTGGCTGAAGAGAATATTTTTAGTTTGAAAATATTCCTATTTTCATGGGGAAGTTATTTCTAATGTGGTCCATTATCAGTTTAGGTTCTACCCATTATCCTTACAACAATCGTATAAATGTACCCATTATCTTGTATGTGGAGATTTTTTTGTTGAGTTTTGTGATGGCCAAAACTCTATAAAAAGTGTGTTATTCTTTCTTTGAGTCACTAAACATGTTCATGTCTTTAGCATACAACACTATCATGTATTGAGAGTGAAAGTTTGGAATCATTTTAGATTATTGTGAAACAGAGCTAAATGAGATTTAGACACAAACTAGAAGTAAGAGCAAAATAGATAACAATGTTTAGCGGCTGGCCCTTTATGATTCTTATTTTTCTGCTCCACCCATGATCTAAATATTTTCTTTATGTGTTTAACATGTTTAGATTGATATATTTGACTAAGAGATATCTTTAAGTGTAGGTCTACATCCAACATGGATGGATTGTCCAAATGATACAAAACTATATGATTTTATTTTGTAATTTAATTGTGACAATTCAATGATTGGACTTTTAAATAACTAGTATAATAATTCATTAGTTACCCTTTTTAATGTATAAATCTTGTATATCTCACATGAATCCAATTGTAAGAGTAGCATGTTTAACATATAGCCAAGTACCTAATCATCGGTTCCCACATTTATGAAAACATGTATTCTTTATGTAAGCTTAACATGCATGCATTTCTAAATTTAAAAAATGTGTTGGATTATGCGAGTGTGCTCTATAATTCAGTAGCAATTCGATTTCATGGTTGAACCTTATAATGAGCATACTAATCCACTGGTACTACCATAGTATACCTATGCTATACCACTTACATTTTTCACACTCCAAGTTGGTAAGTCATACTCCACGTTCATAACATATATAAGTAAAGTGAATGTTAAACTACAAGAAGGGGGTTGAATTGTTATCTATTTAAAAATTTGTTCTTTGTAAAAATGTTATTCAGAAGACTAGTCTTTTAAGTACTAAAACTTGGTGTACTTTCTGAAAGTAGTTTCTAAGTATATTTGTTTGTCAATCAGATTATTGAGTAGTTTAATAATGAATGTAGTAAATTAAATAAACAAGTAAAAAGGAAAAGGGAGAGATATTAAACACATGATTTATACTAGTTCACCTTAACTAGACTACATCTAGTCCTCACACAATCTTGTGGGGTTTTCACTAGTCACAGTCAATTGTTGTTCAATAACCTCAACCACCTACTGATACAAACCACTACTACACAATCACTGTTGTTAGTAATAAACACTTAGCCACCTGCTATGATTTCTTCACTCAACCACTTGTTGAGAAAACAGTCCCAAGTCACCTACTATGAGACTACACAACACTTATTGTGATTTCTTTTTTACTTCGTTACACCACTGCACATTTAGTTCTGGGTAAGGATAATGTTCACAATAATAGGTTTTTTGTGTTCTTTCAAATCACTAAGACCACAAACAACTCTCCTTTGGTGGAGCTTTTACTAAGGAAGGTTTCACATTTCTTTTTCTATTACCAAATTGATATATAATGAAGTAGAAATCTCTGGAGGAAATAGAGGATGAAGCAAGGATTACAATTTGTTAGCTTGTGTAGTTGATTTCTTTCTTTGATCTTGCTCACTTTAAAACGAGACTTTTGTCTTCCCTTTATAGCCATCAAAAGAAGATTTGTTGTGGCTTGCTTATTTTTTAAGTAGATGTTGAGATTACTGTACTGTATTTTTTCTGGTCTTGTTAGCTTTTTATAGATGCCTTTTGAGTAAGTTTTCACTTCATGCCTTATAAACAACATCTTCAATACATGTCTTCTAAGAAACTATGTTTTAATTGAACCCTTTTGATAGTCAACTCAAAGTATTACTTTTTTTAACCAAGTCTTCAACATTTCTCTTAAGAAGAAATTTTTAACTTGAATGTTTCTAATAAAAGACTTAGGATACTCATCTTCTTGCTTGAGAAAAAACATATTTTCAATGCTAATAGGCAATCCACCAAAATTAAATCTTCTTTACAAGGATTTCTTGTGAATTTCTTTTACTATTCAAGGAATCATGGACTCATGTAGCCTTCTTATCAGATTTAAATATTGTTAAAACACTTGAACAAACTTATTAGTACACAAATGTGAACTTTTATATTCTAAATTTGAAACTAAAAATTTGTCATTATTAAAACTATAATTAGGCAAGATTCAGCAATAAGTCACACTCCATGTTAATAACTTACAAATTGTCCTTAATTTGAAAATGTTAGCATTAGGCCATGTACCTTGCCTTAAGAGTAATAAATAAATTCATACTGAGAGATTCAAGTTAACAAATTCATATTGAAAGTAACTGTTATACAAGTATTTAAAAGCAAATATGATTCATAAAACAAGTATTTATATAACATTTGCTATTTCAAACTAACCTAACTCCAATACATGAACCCAACATTAATTAAGAGAGCATTTGGTAGGGGATAAGTTATTAGTTTCTTGTAAATCTTAGATCGAGAATATTTATTTCCTATGTTTGGGATCAAGTTTAAAAGAAAAAGATTTCTAGGAAATATTATTTCTTGAGAACCATTTTTATCCTTTCCTACAAAAACATTTTCATGAGGGAGATTGAAGCTTCAACTTTCCCAACTTAGAGGATTATATAAAAAGACCACAATATTTCCTTTTAAAATTGAAAAATTATAATTAAGTTTCATCTTTACAAAATATCTCTCTCCTTCTATTTTTTTTCTCTCTCTCACTTTCTCTCTCCTCCCCCTTTCCCCCTCTCTCACTCTCTCACACCATCTCTGTCTCTCCTTCTCCCCATTTATCTTTCCTCACCCTCCCTCCCGTATCGCTATTTCTTTCTTTTAATGTGTTTCATTATTTCTTGACCTTATTAATTTTAATAATAATATTAAAGTTTATTTTATTTTTATAGTTTAATAGTATTTGATAACATTTTTTTTAAATGAAATGAAATAATATAATTTTAACCTTCTTAATTATAAGATAGCATTTTACTTTGTTTATTTCTTTGTTGAATTTTGTATTTAAATAATTTTAACTATAAGTTATCAAGTTTTATAATAGTTTAAGTTTTATCAAATACAAATATTATTATATATAATTTTTTATAATATAATTATTTTTTTGTTATCTTAAAAAAGTAATTAGACTATAAAAAAGTTTAATTTCATATTTGTAATAAGATTTGAGTAAAAAAAAAATTAATGATGTTATTTTAATAAAGGATATTTTTGAAAAAATATTTATATATCTAGAAATATACTATTGAAACCAAATGTAATAAAAAAAATTAACTATAGAAAAACTTGTATAAATATTTTTTAGAATCTTTATGAGTAATCAAACATATTTTAACTATTTTTAGGTATAAATTACAAGAAGAATTACTTATGACAAAATTAATAAATAAAAAAGTGAAAATTCTAGACATAAAGGATAAATAGATTTTGGTTAGAAATGCCACCTTATTAAGTTTAATCACATCAAATATGTCACATTAACACTCTATTAATATTTTGATAGAGAAATGATCTTAGCATAATTCATGAGAAAAAAATTTAATAAAAAAATTTATAAAGAAGTGAAACTTTGAGATCACAAAGTCCACTTAGTCTTTTATATATTTATTTATTTAATCATATTATTAATTAAATTTATAATGATAAAAACAATAAACGATATTAATTATTACATAAGTTGTCGTACTTACTCTTTTTTAATTTTAATATTAATATTGATAAGGCAATTTTACATATACATTCTAAAAATATAATTTTCAAGTTAAAATGAATTATCAACATAAGGAAAAGGGACAACAGGGAAAGGGTGCTTCTGCTGCTTAGAGGTTACACTATAAACCCCTCTATTGATTCCACCATTTCCATTTGTATCCATCCACCACCCACATGCTTTGCACGGATTCCCTATTTCTCTCTTCAACCTTCTCAGGTCTCTCTCTCTCTCACATCATGTTTCTTCTATTCCCTATATCAATTATGTTTTCTTTTCTTCCTCGCTTTATCGTTTACCACTTTCTTCTTCATTAAAATTTTCTGCGTTTCAGTGAGCTTGCACATTGTTTGTCTTATGATTTCTACCAATTAGCTTGACTATGTGGTAATTCAATAATTCCCCATTTTGAGTATTCCCCCTTTGTTCATGTTGTTATGAATGATGTGTTAGTGTGAGGGTGCGTTTCATTTCCATCTTCAGAACTATTTTTTGTTTTTGAAATGCAATTAAGTGCCATTTTGTTTAGAAGTTAAAATAACGATTATAAAAAAGTAATTTTTTTTCAGAAGCAGTAAGAAAAATGCTTATTTTATTATAAAAAAAAATGTCCTTTTTTGAGACCCTAAATTAGGTTACCTTGATAGTTAGAGTGTGGAACTGAGGGAGAGTTTGAAAAAGATGGAAAAACGTCTCCTAGCTATTTCTGTTTTTTGTTTTTTTTATAACATTCTTTGGAAATAATTTTGTGGTAGATTTTGGATGAGAAATTTATTGCTGAATAGTGTAGAATTATTTTGGAAGGTAAGAGGGGAATCAAACAGGCCCTAACATTTCTGATTTTTTTTTTTTTTTAGGAACAGGCACTTGAAGAATTCTGGGTGAATTTAAAGTTTTAATCTTTTAAGCCTCTAAGTTTCCTCCATATATTTACCTACATATCCCAACTTTGAAGCTTGGATTCCATATAAACCAAAATGACCACTTGTGTGTCAACAATTTTCGCACCTTCTAATACTAGAAACTCAGCAAGGGTGTTGACTGTTGGAGGAAGAAATCTGACTGGGAATTACCCTGGGAGAGCTTGTTTCATGAAAATGTATGACCGCAGGAGTGGATTTTCCAGTGGCAACCGAATGTTGGGTTTACTTCAAATTAAATGTTCATCCCAGAGTGTCAATCCATTCCATAGTCAAGGCCCTTTTCTAGATTTACATCCTGAGGTGTCAATGCTTAGAGGAGAAGGGAGCAGTACAGTAAACAGCCCAAGAAAGGACAGCTTAGGTGGGGATTTATCTGAGAGCCTAGGAACTACATCTATTCAAAGTGATTACAATGAAGCAAAGATCAAAGTTATTGGTGTTGGAGGTGGTGGGTCAAATGCAGTCAATCGCATGATAGAGAGTTCGATGCATGGTGTGGAGTTTTGGATTGTTAATACTGATGTTCAAGCCATGAGAATGTCGCCTGTCTATCCTGAGAATCGTTTGCAAATTGGTCAGGAGCTTACACGAGGTCTTGGCGCTGGTGGTAACCCTGAAACTGGAATGAATGCTGCGAAAGAAAGCAAAGAATCGATAGAAGAGGCAGTCTATGGAGCTGATATGGTCTTTGTTACTGTAGGTTCAACTACTTTTATCCAATTATATCTTCTGCAAATTTAATTATAATTTTGCATTATGGATTGGTTTTAGTACTGGTCTAAATGTTACACCATTAGACATGATTTACGAGGTCCATTATTATATCAAAATATGTGTGTGGAAGTCCAACACTTCAAAATGCTTAACCTTTTATGTGAAGGCTTATGAGTGATTTTTAATTTTTATATCTATCAATTCCTCTCATGCCAGAGTTCTTTCTTCTTTGAGCTTGAAGCTGAGCAGCTAGGATTGAACTCCTAAAAACTTCATCTTTGAGGGACAGACTCTCTTAAAAGTTTAAGATGTTAAGGGAAGTCATAAATGATTGACTATAGGATCAAGATAGCTAAAGGCAGAGGGGCACTCTATAAAAATTTGTTATTATTATAATCTTGAAAGTTAATTTAGCTTGGTACACTATGATATCAAGTACAAATTTTGTTGTTTGTGATATTTCTTTTAGAAGGATGGGAGGGAAATTTTAAAAACTATAAAATTAAATTATTTACTATTCTAGTTTTTGATGATTAGTTCCCATTTGAGATAGATAAGGAATCAGCAGTTCTTGATATTTGAAACCTTCTAGTATGTAAATTTTTCAAAATCTGGAACAGACATGCTTGTAGTTTTTGTAAGTTGTTCTTTATTAGAATATTTTGCTAAACTGGAAACTGAAATTAACTTTTGCAGGCCGGAATGGGTGGGGGTACTGGCACAGGTGGAGCTCCAATTATTGCTGGTGTAGCAAAGTCAATGGGTATACTGACGGTTGGTATTGTCACCACCCCTTTCTCATTTGAAGGAAGAAAGAGAGCTATTCAAGCCCAAGAAGGAATTACAGCCTTAAGAGATAATGTTGACACGCTTATAGTTATTCCAAATGACAAGCTACTAACAGCAGTTTCTCAATCTACCCCTGTAACTGAAGCATTCAATCTGGCTGATGATATCCTTCGACAGGGTGTGCGAGGCATATCTGATATTATTACGGTATGAAATATCATTAATGATTTTGATGAGTGTTATCAACACACTCTTCGAAACATACTCTCTTATTAGTTAATATATTTTTTTTTGAAAACTATAAAATCATGAGAGGTTCATTAAATAAGACAGTACCCATAGAATTGTGTGATTTCCAATAATTCCAACAAGGATCTGTTCAAAAGTGTGTGTCAGAGAGTCATGCATTCCTGATTTCCTTCTTTTTTTTTCTTGTCCCTAAGGTATGTTGAACTGACTTTATCTATTATGTAATCTCAGAGGCATGAATATAACATAGGACATGAATATGATACAACAAGGACATGAGAATATAATAAATTTTAAAATTCACAGTTTATGACATGACTATAAATAACATTTAAAATTAACATAAAATACTTGTTAAATCAATAATGTTTTAAAAATAAGCACGAGTCATTTTAGACATGATAAATTATACAATTTATCTAATTATTGTGATATTTTCATCTGTGTTGGTATAAAAGTAAAAGAACAAATTAAAATGCAGCTAGGAGTATATGAAGTATCTGATATGGATATTTGGCATGACATGACTAAAATTTGGAAGTATGTGTTTCCTTGTTTGAGATAGTCCGTAGTTCTTGCCCAATGCATAAGGCTATGGGGCACTAAGTTGTCTTAAAATTGATTTAAAATAGAGCCTAGATAATCTGATGCTACTGTTAGTGTTTTCTTTTGCACGAAATCATGTATTTTTTTTTTGTATCAATATCAATTTTTAATACATGTGGATAAAACATACACGGCTATCCCACTAGTAGGATATTCTGATTATATATTGTTGATTAATTGCCCATGGTTTAAAATTGATAATATCTCTCTGTAAAATCATTAACGCTAATTACTTTTACTAATTTATTGCAGATACCAGGGTTGGTGAATGTGGATTTTGCTGATGTTCGAGCTATAATGGCCAATGCAGGTTCTTCACTAATGGGGATAGGAACTGCAACTGGTAAGTATGAAAGGTGCAATGTAGTCTCCCAAGTTCATATCTTCTATTTGATTCATAATTATGCAATGATTGGAAGAAGCTCTTGATCCTCTGTTTCGCTTACAAAAAGATTGAGGGTAGTGTGAATTTGTGATACTCAAACTATATGTATGTAATATGGTTGTACATATTGGCATATCAGCATGCATGTCCAAAAGAAAAGGTTTATACAAATAAAGTGGTTCTTGAGGCATAGCTATCATTGCCTTATAACTATTATTTTATATATCTAACGATAATTTGAAGGGTATAAGCATATGATACAAAATACTAAGCCAGTGCTCCAATTTTTACTAAGGTCAAGTACTAGTGTTGTATTACAAGCCCAAGCTATCTGTAGTATTACTAACCCTAAATAAATAAGGAAATAAACCAGGAAACAGTTCCTAAGGTTGCTTTCTCATTGGGATGACTAATTGATTTCATGGTATTTTCTATGATATTTTAATGTACTCTGAAGATCTTTCTAACATTTATGCTGTGATGGTTAATAGAATACATTTTTCTTTACCCCTTCTACACCACTTTCTGTTTTTCTTTTTTCTAATATTAAATTGTAAATGCATTGTCTTTTGATAAAGACTCCTTTCTGTCATTTTTTTGGCCCAGAATTTTGAGTGCATTCTTAATTTTGAGCTTCATATATCATTGAAAATTATCATGTGGCTTCTTTTTGTCAAGGAAAATCAAGAGCAAGAGATGCTGCATTGAATGCCATCCAGTCACCTTTACTGGATATTGGTATAGAGAGGGCTACTGGAATTGTTTGGAACATAACTGGTGGGACTGACATGACATTGTTTGAGGTGGCTACCTATCCCTTTGGCTCTAAAATATTTGTTTCCGTTGTACCCATAATATTTTTTCCCTTCTCTTTTTATTGTTGTTGTTATTGAATTTTTTGAGGAATACTTGACCTTCTTGATATGTTATCTATTGAATTCGTCATGCTCTTGCAGGCTGCTGTGTATGGTATCCATTTTGTATGCTTGTCTTTTAATATAATCATTTACAGGTAAATGCTGCAGCAGAGGTTATATATGACCTTGTGGACCCTACTGCTAATTTAATATTTGGAGCAGTAATAGATCCATCACTCAGTGGTCAAGTAAGTTAAACTATGTAAATCTGTGACATTAGTTATATGAAGTTGTAAATGATATGCTGTGATTCCCCCGGAAATGAATTGCACCATATACCCCGCTTCAGTGTTTAAGGAAATAAGAAAGTGTCCTACTTTCACGTTGTGAACCACAAAATCTCAGTACCATTTGGAGAAACGAACTAAATAATTTAAATCACCATACCTACCATGTTAAATGCATTAAATAAGACCAGTGCTTCCCTTTTTTCTGAAAGAGGTTAGAGAATAATGAAGTTCAAGATATGCTTTATTTTCTTAACGTAGTTATTAATATATTAGATGACAGTGGTAGAAAAGATTAACAATTTGGGTAGTTCTGGACACATTAATATTTATAATAGGCAAGAGAATGGACTTTTGCGCTAGATAACTATTTTCTCAAAGTTAGTTTAATTTGAACATATAATATAATCATTTTGGTGGTGAGCAATGAAATTTGGTTTCATACAGGTGAGCATAACATTGATTGCAACTGGATTCAAGCGTCAAGAGGAGAGTGAAGGGAGGCCCCTGCAGGTATGGATCAACTCTGCCCCCTAACCCCATTCCTGTATGCATACCCATAATTCCTTGTTTTGAGTACCACTAGGGTCAGCTTAGTAGTTGGAGGGTTGGAACAAAATATACAAGGTCCTATGTTCGAGTTTTATTGCTGTCATTATAATTCTTATGAATAAAAAGAATATAATTATTGTTTTGATCTGAGAACAGGCCAGTCAACTCACTCAAGCAGATACAACCTTTGGCGTCAATCGGCGACCTTCCTCTTTCACCGATGGTAGTTTGTTTGAGATACCTGAATTCCTGAGGAAGAAAGGAGGTTCTCGCTATCCAAGGACTTAATACTCTTCCTAATTTCTTCAACCCCTTGCATTTCTTCAGCCTTGGATATACATAACATTGGTCTAGGTACTTGGTCCCTTTCTTGCCTTGGATTTTAGACACAGCTGTGTATACAGTTTGTTCATTGAAGTTAATTACTTTCCACTTTCCAGACTTGTGCGCCTAACTGGAGGTATTGCAGCATGGATCCATTTCTTGGCATGTTTGAATAAGTTTGTTAGCTTGTACAGAGAATATTTCAGTAATGCTGAGAACTTGTTATAGTTCTTTGGCTTGTTATAGGAAATTCATTATTGTGCTTCAGAGTAATTATATTCTGTTATAATTTTTTTTCTAAATAATAATAACTAATGGTATCATTTTTATCATATAACACGGTTACATATATTTATAAATAGAGCAGAGAAATGTTTGCTTTTAGTCAGTAAAAAATCACTTGCTTTTAGTTCCTTAATTATGATAATAGGAGTCACACATGACACCTTTCTATAAATAAGGGAACAAAAAGAGACGATTCTTTTAGGGAATAAAAGGAAACATTGTCTTATATATAATACAGAAGCAAATGAAAGAACGTGTGATTTGAGTGAAAGAAGTTCAAATTATTCATGCATGTTGTGGCCTTGGTTTCAGTTTTGAATTTTATATCAGAAAAATAATATTATATTAGGAGTCTTTTCCCTGCACTCATTCCAGGATACATCTGGAAGCAATTCTATGTGGATTGAAGACTCATCGCATTTTTTTTTTTGGGAGAAATTATATTGTACTTGTTTGATGTTTAAATGGACACTCCTCTTAATTCAAATATTATACTTGGGGTTGGGGGCTGCTATTAGCAATCCTCTTTTTTCTCTTCGTACTGCCTTATTTATTTATTATTTTTTTGACAAAAGTGCTCTCGATATATACTAATTCCCGTTATTTATTTTGCACAGAAATTAATTTCTATATCATATCAGAAACTAGTTTTCATAGTGTAGATGTGTTTACTGATAAAAAAAATGGTGTAGATGTGTTTGAAATATATTTCGAAACTAGTTTACGACAACAAAGGAAAGTGTATCTTTACAAGATATTTAACACGACTGCCTGTTAAAAGTTTAAATTTAAATAATTAAATTAAAATAACCTCGTACTAGTAATTTATAAAGTCGATAATATTATTATTGTAGATTAAATCAATGAATATAAGTGGGCCATCGATGGTAAAAATTTGTCGTGGCCATGAAGAGGATCCAGCAAATTTGCATTGGTTGATTTTATATTTTTAGCTTCTTTTAGGGGCGTTCATCAACTACTATTCAAAAGAAAACAAAAGAATCAAAGGTGAACAGTATGAATTTTCACAAAAAGAATACGGCTTTTTGGCCCAGTTAAATTTAAAAAAATAAAAATACACAAAATAAATTAAAAAATAACAAATTACCGGAATAGGTAGTTTTTGACATGTAGGATGCCACCTGGATGAGAAAACGCAGAGGGGCTGGGCATTTTTCAGAAGAAGCCTCCCCCCATGCGCCTTGTATGGGCCCACGTGGCACATATCTGACGTGGAAAAGAAAGAGTAGGGGAGAGGCGTTTTTCAGATGGAGCCTCCCCCCAGGCGCCATCTGTGCACGTTCTGACACGTGGCAACGTGCCTCCACCCTAGGCGCTATGTATGTATTGTACATAACGCCTCCCTCCCATGCGCCATCCTAATTTGTACACATGTGGCGCCCCAGCCCCAGGCGCTATCAATGAATATAAGTGGGCCATCGATGGTAAAGTTTACTTCGTCCGGTGGACCAGGAATGCTATCATATTTTATTTGGTTGTCCAGGGTAGTGCAAGTGAGTAACATATTTAAATTGTTGTAATTTTTAATTTTAATTTATATAATATATTATATGCTGATTCAAAGATAAAATAGGGTAGTGTAATAATTTTTTTTTAAATAGAAATGGTCAACACGTATGCTATATACGTGGAACGGGTTATTTTCGGAACGGGCCGTTCCGAATGCTAAAGTCATAAAGTTTAGGTACAATAAGAACGGGCCGCTCCGAAAGTAGAACGGCCCGTTCTTATTGTACTGATGATTTGTTATTTTTGGCTCAGGAACGGCCTGTTCTAAAAGGAGAACGCGCCATTCCGAAACTAAAATTAACAACTTATGAGCGCAATGAGAACGGACCGTTCTGAAATCAGAACGGCCCGTTCTATATCTTAAGATAGTGCATAATATAAAATTGATATTTTTATTGAAAAACTTATATAATTTGATTTTTATAATTAAATATATGTATTTATTGCCATGTTAAAAATTATGATATTATACTGAATATTATAAATTTTAGAATTTGAAACAATATTAATGGAATATTTATTTTGTTTTATATTTTATCAGAAATGTCTCATAGAGGAGTAGATTATGTGCCTGATAGTGACGAAGAGGAAAACATTGTTCGATCGGAGGAAGAATTGGCAAATGAGCAATTGTTGTCAATAATGAGAAGTGTTATGGTAGCTAAACAAGCTGAAGAAGCTAGAGAATAGGAGCCATTGTCTCTGTTGTCACCCCCTACACCAAAACTTGGGGATGACAATGACGAGGAGACATCTAGTGCACGTGACATTGGTCGTCTTATTCCTGGACCAGCTGGTTTGGTCCAAGCTACCATGAGGAACAGGGAATCTGAAAATCCCTTACCAACACAACAGTTCTTGTCTGATCTTAACGGACCTGCGATGATGGTGTTCAACTCTAACCCATGGCGTTATGCAGTTCATTATGTGAAATCTAGAGGTTTGTTTAGCATATTAAGTTTCATGTGTGTAAAATTAATCATGCAAATAATGTTATTTTTTTTGTTTGTTTTGTTAACAATAGAGCTACCAGAAGTGACAGCATTGATTAATATCAACCACAATTTAGAAAGAGTTCCAATAGTTGTTGCTTTTGTGGAGTCTATGACCCCAACTGGAAGGGGGAATTATACTATTAATTTAAAGGTATGGTTAGTGAATTTTTTATACATTAAAAAAATTGTTTTGTAATTAATTATAAATATTTATTTCAGGACCCAAGTGCAACGATTGGTGCAATAAGCTTACATTACAAAGTTAAGCAACACGAACAATATGGAAAAGACATTGTTGTGGGGTGTGTGTTAGTTCTGAAACAGGTAATATTTGTTGTATAATATTAAATTATATGTTATTTATGTGTTGAATTGAATTTTTTTTCTCTTCAGGTTGTCGTGTTTGCCCCCAACCGTTTTCGTGGTCCTTACTTCCTGAATATAACTAAAAGTAATGTACAACAGGTGAGTAGTGTTAGTCAAATATAATTTATCGTGTAACTAATATTGTTTAACAAATGAATTTTAAAGGTTAAATTATATTTGACTAACACTACTCACCTGTTGTAATGTAATGTTTTATGTGGATTGTAAAATTAAAATTTGGAGAATATTATTATTAAATATTCATAAAATTATGCACTTTAGTTAATAATATGTATTTTTTGTTATTGTTTTGTAATTGTGTAATGAAAAAAAAATGGTTAAATTATGCACTTCAATTTTTTATTATTATTTTAGTTAGGCTCCATCTGCCTATAAATATAAGTGTGTGTGTGTGTGTGTTTTATGTTCAGACAGTTGAGAAGGAATAGCCTTTGAAGTTTCTCTTCAACTTAAGATAGAAATATTGTAGTAGTGATTTCGAAGAATGGCTTCAGCAAGAGTGTTTGCTCTTGTGTTTCAAAATGTTCAGATATTTGAAACTCAGTACGGTCTTGATTATGCCATACAAATGCCATCTAGTGGAAGAGTTATCAAACTTAACGAAGACATGAGACTTGTTGATTTGTTGAATGAGGTACATAGGAGGTTGATCAAAGGGGATAGCAAACGCATAAGTCAACTTCATTATCGTTGTCCAATTAAATACGAAGAAGGAGGAAAGCAATATACTCCATATCCTTTAACCTGTGATGAAGATGTGGCATTCATGTTTCACAGATTTGCAGAAGACCCGAATGAATTACTACTGAATTTGTTTGTTACTTTTGAAGATCTGGAGCCTCAACAATTGCAGATGTGGAACATGGTCAATTCATTTGAAAGGCAACTAAACTTCATGTAGGTTATTGTATACTTTAACAGTCAATGTTTACTGTGTTAAGTTATAATGTTTAGTTTTGCAAAGGACTGTGTTGTTTGTATCGTTGTTTATTTTGTTAATAGTCAGTGTTTACTTAGTTAAGTTCATGTTGTTGTCGTCGTTGTTGTCGTTGTTGTTAAACAATATTTAAGTGTTTGTTAAAGTTTAAAAGTTTTTTTCTTAATTTGAATGTAGTACTAAAGTGTTGAAGTATGAATAATATTTATGTGTGTGATTAAGAAATGTGATAATATTTTCGTTACAATGAAAAATAACAATTGAAAATGTAAAGCATAAAGTAGGTTAAACTAACGGCTTAGATCGCATCGACAAAATGAATGGTATGAAGAACGACCTTGATTACACCGACGAAATGAACGGTGTAGATCATCTTGATTTTGTAATGAACATTGTTCATGGGTCAGAGGTTTTGTGTCCTAGTAACAGGGGAAAAGAACGGCCCTGATCGCACCGACAAAATCAACGGTGTACATGATCTCGAATTTGCAACAAAGACTGTTCATGGGTCAGAAGTTTTGTCTACTAGTAACAGGGGAAAAGAACGGCCTTGATCACACCGACAAAATGAACGATTTAGATCATCTCGAATTTGCAATAAACACTGTTCATGGGTCAGAAGTTTTGTCTCCTAGTAATAGGGGAAACGAACGGCCCTGATCGCACCGACAGAATCAACGGTGTAGATCATCTCGAAATTGCAACAAACACTGTTCATGGGTAAGAAGTTTTGTCTTCTAGTAACAGGGGAAACGAACGGCCCTGATCGCACCGACAGAATCAACGGTGTAGATCATCTTGAATTTGCAACATACACTATTCATGGGTCAGAAGTTTTGTCTCCTAGTAACAGGGGAAACGAGCGACCCGGATCGCACCGACAGAATCAACGGTGTAGATCATCTTGAATTTGCAACATACACTATTCATGGGTCAGAAGTTTTGTCTCCTAGTAACAGGGGAAACGAGCGACCCGGATCGCACCGACAGAATCAACGGTGTAGATCATCTTGAATTTGCAAAAAAAACTATTCATGGGTCAGAAGTTTTGTCTCCTAATAACAGGGGAAACGAACGGCCCTGATCGCACAGACAGAATCAACGGTGTAGATCATCTCGAATTTGCAAGCAGTGGCCGATCC